AAAGATTTATTTATTTAGAGAGAGAAAGTGAACACGAGGACGGGGGTGGGGGTGGGGCAGAGAATCTCAAGCAGACTCCACGAATGCAGAGCCTGATGTGGGGTTTGATCCCACAACTTAACCGACTCACCACCCAGGCACCCCTCCTCTACCCATTTTTAATGATTACTTGTTTTGGGTTTTTTGTTTTTTTGGTGTTGTGTTGTATGAGTTCCTTATATATTTCAGATATTAACCCCTTATTAGGTGTGTCATTTGCAAGTATCTTCTCCCATTCCATAGGTTGCCCTCTCATTTTGTTGATGGCTTCCTTTGCTGTAAAACATGATTTTTACCACATGAGCAGTATGTGCTCTTTATAGAAAAACCAGACGAGGGGCACCTAGGTGACTCAGTCTTTAAGCGTCTGCCTTCGGCTCAGGCCATGATCCTGGGGTCCTGGGATCCAGGCCCGCATTAGGCTCCCTGCTCAGCGGGAAGCCTGCTTCTCCCTCTCCCACTCCCCCTGCTGTGTTCCCTCTCGCTCTCTGTCAAATAAATAAACAAAATCAAAAAAAAAAAAAAAAAGATAGAAATAAAATGGAAAGCCCTAGCGTGCCCACCTTCCAGACACAAAGCTCTGACATCTGTATATGTGCTCCTACTCCTCTGTACGCACAATACACATTTTTTTAAAAAATAAGAAATATTAGGAATGGTAGGCAGAATAATGATCAAAGATGATTATGTCTGAATCCCTACCTTACATGGCAAAGGGGTCTTTGCAGATGTGACTAAGTTAAAGGTTTTGAGATGGGGAGATGGTCTTGAATTACTTGGGTAGGCCCAAAGTAGTCATGAGAGTCCTTACAGAAGGGAGGCAAAAGGGTCAAAATCAGAGATGGGACAATGGAAGCAGAGGTTGGAGTGTCTGGGCTTTGAAGATGGAGGAAGGAAGTCTCCACAAGCTGGAAAAGGCTAAGAAGCAGATTCTCCCCTGGAAACTCTGGAAGGAACCAGGCCTATGGATACTTTAACTCCCTAATGCCCATTTCCCACTTCTGATCTCAAGAGAACTGTAAAATAAGAAATCTGTGACAGCGTGTTACAACAGCAGCAGGAAACTAATGCATTATGAGCTGCTGTATTTTTCACCTCAGAATAGTTATGTATACAATGTATAATGAATATACAGGTACACTAATCAATATGTAACAGTCTAACTTTGTAAAACATTTATGTGTTTTTAAAGATTTTATTTATTTGGGCGCCTGGGTGGCTCAGTTGGTTAAGCGACTGCCTTCGGCTCAGGTCATGATCCTGGAGTCC